CCGGAGGAGGCCAACCCTGTGAGATCTAATGGGTCTGTGGGAGGTAATTGGCAGCAGGCGGTCTCTCAAGTACTGCAATGCTGCAATGGTACATGTATGACTCACTGAATGACCATAGCAATTAGTGACAGATGTTCTGGTCCCAACTGAACAACATTCTAGTATGAAAGAATAAAAGACTCTTGCTCAGATTTGCTTAATTTCTAAGAAAGATCTTTATCTAGAGTCTAGACCGTGCAGTGTTTTGAAATGGTCTTAACTTTGTTTTTTTTTACATTACATTATGCAAGCACAGTTATCTATTTATTAAATTTATTTGCCACCCATCTCGCTGTGGGGCTATTCTGAATGGTTTACAACAGCAAAAACATAACATTATAAAACATGTACACATAACAATAGTAAAACAATTACACAATAAAATAAACAATGAAAATACAGCAATATGAATTAAAAGATAGGCAGGAAATGAGCAGAACGCGCAGGATGGAAGCTGATTAAATACGGGTTAAATATTAATTAAGAATAAAGGCCTTTACAGGCCTGATATTTCTTAAATGAATCTTACTTTGGTACTTCCGTTTAACTTTTTTAAAAGCATTTTTCCTGGATCCCTATCATAAAGCAATAAACTGCTTTATTGACAGACTGACATGAGCCACCAATGATCCACTGAAATTTCTTTCTGCTATTTTCTGAAGGAAGTTATTTGACGAGTTTTCTTAAAACTGTTTACAGACAGGAAAATGAAAGAGTTTTGGAAGGGTCAAGGAAAATAACTTCTACTTAAATAAAAGTACTTACAGCTTGAAGAAGGTGTAAATTGTCCCTCAGAGAAGCCAATACTCCAAGGAAGGACACAAGGAACATTACGATGCCCAAGAGAATCAGGATGATTGCTGGAGCTAAGAAGGCACTTTCAAGGGTTTTATATTTCTGTCTTTCCACTTCTGCATAAATGCCCACAGCTAACACAAACGCCCCTAGCAACTGCAACAGAAAAAGGCGGGGAAAATGCCATATGCTTACAAATTACAAATTCTGTGCATTTCATTGATAACCAAGTTCAGGACGTTTGCTAAGCATCACTAATCCAAAGATTGCAATTGGAATAGGTTAATTTGCTTTTTTTTTTTTTTTTGCAAGCATGCAACGCTCAAAAGCAGGGGTCCTCAAACTTTTTAAACAGGGGGGCGATTCATGATCCCTCAGATTGTTAGGGGGGCGGGCTGTGTGGGTGTGGCTAGGTGATCATGTGACTGAGTCAGCATGGCTAGGTGGTCATGTGACTAAGTGGGAATGGCCAATTTAGCAGTCCATTAAACAATACACACAAATTAAACTTTAATTTGTTATGCTCCTGGGGGTGGAAAGCAGGTTAGTGAAGGGATGCGGCTGCCTTGGCGGGGGGAGAGGTACCTCTCTCCCTCTCCCTCTCCCTCTCTCTCTCTCTCTCTCTCTCTCTCTCTCCTTCTCTCTCCCTCCCGGCTGGAGAGGCCAAAAAC